AAATTTTTTTTGAGAAGGGATCTTGCTCTGTTGCCCAGGCTGGAGTGCAATGGCGCGATCTCGGCTCACTGCAACCTCCGCCTCCCAGGTTCAAGCGATTCTCCTGCCTCAGCCTCCTGAGTAGCTGGGATTACAGGCGCGCACCACCACACCAGACTAATTTTTGTATTTTTAGTAGAGACAGAGTTTAACCACGTTGGCCGGGCTGGTATCGAACTCCTGGTCTCAGGTGATCCGCCTGCCTCAGCCTCCCAAAGTGCTGGGATTACAAGCATGAGCCACCGCGCCCAGACTTGTTTTAAAATATTTCAAACCTACCAAAAACTGTAAGAATAGCACACGCCCTCTGGACTCCCCAGTTGTTGGTATCTGCCACATCCACTTTCTCTCCCATTCTCTTCTCAGCAACCCCCTCCCCTGGGGCAGAAACCATGGTGCTGCCTAAGACCAAAGACACTCTTCCTACAAAACCCCATAGAATTGTCGCATTGGAGAAACTGAACCTTGATATAGAGTCTATATTGACATTTTCCCAAGTATCTAAACAATGTTCTTACAGATATGCTTCCTCATATAGGAACTAATCAAGGTTCACACGTGGCATTTGGTTATGTCTGTTTATCCTTTAAGAATGAATTCTGACCAGATGAGGTGGCTTATGCCTGTAATCCCAGCACTTGAGGAGGCCGAGGTGGGCGGATCGCTTGAGGTCAGGAGTTCAAGACCAGCCTGGCCAACATAGCGAAACCCCGTCTCTACCAAAAATACAAAAAATTAGCCAAGCATGGTGGTGTGTGCCCATAGTCCCAGCTGCTTGGGAGGCTGAGGCAGGAGAATCACTTGAATCCGAAAGACGGAGGTTGCAGTGAACCAAGATCGGACCACCATACTCCAGACTCCTTACTTGTTTTTTGTGGTCTTCTGTTTTTTTGTTTTCACTCTGTCGCCCAGGCTGGAGTGCAGTGGCACGATCTTGGCTCACTGCAAGCTCCTCCTCCTGGGTTCATGCCATTCTCCTGCCTCAGCCTCCCGAGTAGCTGGGACTACAGGTGC